AGAAATTAGCTTCATTTTAAAAGCAAGAACCAAAATCAAAATGTGACAATAAAAGAGCATTATGGATCCTAAATGGAAATACTTAAAATACCTAAGTTGAATCGAATCTGATTCAACGCAATCAAAAACTCAAATTATAATTAAAAATGTTACAATTATTAAAAATTATATCACAATAAAAAAAGAAACGAAAAAAATCATGTGATTTGGTCATATCGGAAACGGATACTGAGTCCAAGGGAGGGGGAAGAAAAGGGGAGGTAAATAATTATTCGATTAAAATGGAAATGAATTTTCATCTCTCTCTCTCTGTGTGGCAGTATCATTTTCACTCGACGGCTTGGTTTTTAACCTTAATCTTTATTTATCTCTTGGCTACTCAAGCTATGAAATGAATATTTTTCTCCTCAATGAAATGGTTAAAATTGACGCCAAATTATTAGCTACACAATGTCCAGGCTCTCAATTTCTATTTAAAGCACGATAATCATGATGCTGAAAAAATATCTTCTTTTTTTGTCTTTTAACTAAATTGTTTGTTTGATTCGCTAGAAAAAAAATTAGAAAAATATGCTCATCTCACTACGAATGGGAGTTACAAAATGGGAATCTCGAAATTCGACTGATCTTTTCTTTTCTACCAAGGGAAGGGTTTGTGCTTGATTATTTTGAGTATTTTTTTTCGGCTTTTGATTATGTGTGTGTGTGTATGAACTGAATCAATGGAATCAAAACAGCTGGTTGTCGGCATTAAGCCGTCGATTTTACTAAAATCATTTTAAAAATTGGATTTAGAAAAAGATCGACTGAGGTTTATGACATCATGATTTCAATGCACATCAAGCGAATCCAAATGAATCTGGATAAAACGTTCCTTAAGCTATTTGTAAAGTTTGCTGCTTTATTTTGTATTTTTCATTTTTTAATTCTCTTCTTTCGCTTATTATAAATAACTAGACTTGTTCATGCGATTTCTTCAAAAGAAAAAAAAAACAAAGAAAAATTACATATCTATCTCTGTTGTTCAGAGCATTTTGTATTTGCTGGATAACAATAGTGTTTTTTTCTGTAGCAAATTATTAGCAGGAGTTAGAACGACAGTAGAAAGTATTTTTGAAATATAAATTAATGTGTTTTTGTGGTTTTTTTATTTGTTTGTGTTTGTGAGTGTATTTTTTTCTTAGTAAGTTGAATTTGGTTTCACTTGAAATGGTTGTCGGTTTCAGCTTACGTTGGACACAGCACTTTCAATATGTAGTCTGTGAGAAGCGTCGGCACCGTTGGACTGTCTTCGTTTATCGCTTTCAGAACTAGACAATTAAAATGGAGAACAAATTCGAATTATTTCCGTTGGAATTTGATCGCTATTCATACGTTGAACTTGAAATATTCACACTCACTTTTTATCAAAACTTGCAGAGCTGGATTGTCTGGTGTGCCATTTTCTGGATGATATGGAATTACTGTAGTCAAGTATTTTGGTTCCAAACCTGTGTAAAACAAAAACTCAATTAATATTCAAATAAGCAAGCCACAACAACGAATTTACCGCGCATATTCAAATTCAATCACTCACCATTTGATGTTGTTGTTTTGCCTTGTGTTTTGTTACGCTTCTTCTCGACATGATATTGACGTCGTTTATTTTGTACGGCCAACAGCAATGAAATGAATGTGTTTTTCATTTCTTTTTCGTATTCGAGTTCATCGCGCAACGCCAATTCGTTTATCAGAGTCTCGGAAAACTCGCGAATTAACACTTCCATTTCCATATAAAGTTCATTGAGCTGTGTGATTGACATTTTTTGCAATTCTAATTCGTGTGAAAAAGAAAGAGCAACAAATTGGTTAATAAATTTCGAAAAAAATAACAAAAATCCAAGTGTTATTATTAAAATATTCATGAAATTTGATAAAAATGATCATTTGCTTATATTTTTACGATTTAAATCGCTTTTTTATTGTAAATTTTTATTAATATTCATAAGATTATGGGAAAAGAAAATGAAACTCACTTTCTTCATAGAGTGGTGCACCCAAGACTTCTTTTGCTTTTTCCATAACTTCCGACACCTCGCCAACGTCTTCATTGTCCGATGAAGTTTCATCCATGATGTCGTCGATTTCCTTAATCACTTCTTCGGCCGATTTGATCGGTTCGTCTTCGGTGTGCAGCCCGCCCAAAATCAAAGCGTGCATGTCGAGATCATTAGCCACAGCCTCGTCTTCCGAACTCAAATCATTCAATTCATCGTCGGGGGTTTCGGCCAATCGTTGATTCAGCTGCAATGCTGGCATGTGCATTTGACGTGCATGTGACTTGGACCAATCGATCGGCAATATGTTACCAAAGTTTCCAGTTATAGTCCACCACATTCTGGAAATGAAGAAAAAACAACAACAAAATTGAAATATAATTGAATAAAACGTTTATTTTGGTTTCTCTATCGATTTCCCATGGGTTTTACTTCAACGAGAAAAAAATTCAAATAGAAATGGCGAAAGTTGGCATTTCAAGCGCTTCTTCAATTTCAATTATTCATAAATGTCATATTCCATTTGGATATTTATCGCAAGCAAATGACACTCATGCCATCATTCAAATACGTGTCATTTCAATTACGCTGGTTTTGGTGAGGACTTTGGCATTTACATTAAATGCTTTTTGATTAATAACCTATTTTGCAACGATAAAGTTAATTCCCTCCCTTAATTGATAGCGTCATACATTTCAATTTGCATTGCCTCTCTCTATAAAAAATATAATTCAAAACTCGACCAAACTAGCAAATCATTAATCAATTCAAGTCGTTGACACCAGCAAAATGGAACAAACAACAAGCGAAAGTTGAATTTTACTGCAGGAAAGGGGCTTGAAACAGTTAAAGAACGATCGATACGTGCGATTTCGAATACAATGAAGAAGTGAATTGAAAAACACGGTCGAGACGTAATTGATTGAGAAATAGGCCGATTCCAATATCGTCATTACAGAGAAATTATTCGAAATTGTTGGCGAGAAATTAGAATTTCATTGAAATACTTGTGGATGCATTCTCATACCTAGGCTCTTAGTCTACAATGTATGATTACTAATTGCTTTGGGAATTAAATGTAAATATGAAAGGCAAAACACCAGTTTTTAGCCACGTGAAAGAATGCAGTATCGCATGAGATACAGACACATTTCCTAGGAAAGTTTCAATTTGAAACCATCAATCAAGAACAGTTCAAGGTACCGTCCAGTTGTTAATGCTACAAAACACAACATGGATTGAATAGAAAAATGGTGTTTGATTTATCTTATTCTGTGATGTACGTTATTTCCTTCATCATTGATGCTATTTTTTCAATTCAATTTTTTTATGTTTCAATCCAGCATTGACTACAATTTTGTTGATCGAATATGCAAATCAAATATTTGCCCAAAGTTTCAAAACATGTGACCACTTAAAGCTGTCAATATCCAAAATGTATGTCAATTCGAATGGAACAAAATTATGACCTCTAAATTTATTATTGCTATCGATTCAATTCGAATGGAGTTCAGTTCGTAAATTGCAAAGAACTGTCAAGATCTCTTATTGATGACAACATCTAGTGTTCAAGTGTGATAAGTGGCCAGTGCTGAGTCAGCACATTGCATAATCATCCCATTCAATGGCCAAATCAAACGTAGAACCAGACAATGTTTTTGGATAACGTCAGCTAGCTCACTGAAAATATCTAGCTGAGCTCAGCGAGTATGCGTTGCGTTTTTTCAATCCAATGGATTCCAATCCCAGCCAATGAACTCCTCTTCGTTTTTATACTGCAAATGCGTTCAAAAAACGCAACGCATACTCGTCAGCCGCTGAGCTCAGCTCAACAGTGGAATGCTTCGTATACTGATACATGTATTTGGTTGGAACTCGGTTGACCGAAGCGCCATCTAAAGAACCGATGGCGAATTCGTGATGTTTGTATGTTATACTTCAGTATGACGTTTGACAGAACGGAGAGTTTACTTGATTGTATTGTCATTAGACTTAAATTATCTAGGTGGTGTTTGCGCTCAATATCAGTTGTCAAATTCAAAGTGAATAGGAGCGTTGGCTCAGCTAGATATTTTCAGTTAGCTAGCTGACGTTATCCAAATACATTGTCTGCGTAGAACAATCTGAATTGAATAAATCCAAATTTCAAGAAGGAAACGGTCATTTGTGTATGATTTTGTCATTTGACACAGGAAATTTCAAATTTGCTAAAAATGTGGGTTTGCGGTTTTGTTTTATCATTGGGTCGATTTGCTGGCCGAATTGAAGTGCTAATGTTTTTATCGCATGTAAAACATTCACGTGAAATAGAAGCACACATATTTGCATGATTGAATGAGCGACCGGGTGAGTGAGTGTGTGGTTGTTTATACAAATTGGATTAACGCAGTGATGAATTTTAATTTATTTATTAACCTATTTTGTGTGTGTGTATTTTCGTTTATAAAGCACTGGTCGAGCGAACGGCATTTGTAAAGTGAATTTCATGGCGTGAATTGAAAAAATAAAAAGTATCTATACTATGTTGTGATGGGTGCAAATCTGTTCGTAACACATACAAAAATGAACTATTGGCAACCGTACAAAATATCCGCACATAAATAACTATGTGTGATTTACGCGAGAAATGAGCAAAGTAAAAGTGAGCACAAAGAATAATGAACGAAAATCGACAGCGAAACATTCTTGGAGGCCGTTGGAAACAATCAAAGTGAAGGAGCGATGATAGCAAATATCATTGAAATGTCGAACAGATTCAAAAGATACGTCAGCCGTTTTTATGACTTTTCTTTTAATCATCTTGCTGAGCATCTAACGTACATAATGGCTCACAATCGTAAATATTTTTTCAAAGCTTGAATTTTTCCTCTCTTTTTCTCTGTTGTTGTTGTGAGTCATTTCGCGCAAGAAATAAACAGCCGAAGAAAAATGGCACGGATAAAGTAGAGCAGAAATTAATACTTCGGCCAGAAGGCATGCTTTCAGAAAAATGTGTGAGAGAAATGCGGCAGTTTGTTGAATGGTGTATTTTGTGATGACAGAAGAGAAAAAAATGTATAATTACAAAAATAAATGGAGAAAAATGTTTTCTTGTTGAAACAAAAGTTTGCATGTGGCACACAAAAAAAACGCAAATTGGGAGTGACCTCATTCATGATGTGCGTTCATTGTCTTTGCCGGTGGATTTTTATTGCAGATTTCTTTCAAATATGAATCACACGGATTTAAATGCATGCGTGTGTGGGTGGATTGAAGCAATGAACATTCCCAGTGACATCATTTGTCATGCTTTCGCTTTAATCCGATCCACTTGACTGTCAATTTTTATTACAATCAGAAATGATATGGATTATCGGATTTCCATGTAACAAGAGCATGAACATTGAACATAAAATATACTTGTGACAAATGAAACCATAGAAACTATATTCATGGAACATATATACACATAGAACATATATGTATATTGAACGGTTGATGGAACATGGAACCGCAAAGTCTGCACCATCGATGGTAACGACAACGGATACGCATTGGTAAACCGATGAAGAACGAAAACAACTGCAACAATACACCGAAAAGTCCCTGGCAGAAAAATATGAACAGCAACAGTCGCCATTGAAATCGATTTTTGAAGTTCTACTTATTGCTCCGCCAAATTTGCGATTGTTGTCAGTTCCACTTGTTTCTCTCTTTTGCCGAAACCACATTCATACAGAGGCGGCTATTGAATGAATATTCAATGCATACAGGCATATTGTATGAAAGTGGAGGACACATATTGTTTGACAAATCCTTGTGTGTGTGTGTGTGCGTGCGTGCGACTGCTGGAGAGATGTCATTTTATCATGATTCCAATTAAATTGTTTTTTTCATTCCCCCTGAATATTGAGTTGATTGTTGTTAATTAATCGCTTTAATGGACGCATATTTTTAGTGTGGAAAAAGTGGTTTCGACACGAATTTCTCGCGCTTGAACGAATGTGAGTGACATCATTTGTGATTACAATATGTCATCAAAGTTAAATGAAATGTCTCTTTAATTACATAACAGTGATGCCATCCAGGCAGGCAGGCCGGGCTGCTTCTGACTCTACATGATGTGTAAACAAATTCTAAGTCTATGGCAGAAATGACAAAACCGGACAAATATTTCTGTCAATTCTACTTTGAAAACTTAATAAAAGTTGCCCTCTTTTTCTTTCTCTTTCTCTCTGCACTGCATGCTTGTTTTATAAATATTAAACGACTTTTTCTTCATCATCATCTAGCCGCTTTGGTTGTTCGTTCAGCGTTTACTGAGAATTTCATTCGCCATTTAAATTAAAAAGATGCTTGCGACGTGAATGAATATAAACCATTCCAGTTGAATCCTGTGGCTTCAATGCTGCATTCAGTGCAACGCCGTGGGGCCTCATTTTGATACTGGTACGGAATGGCATTGTGAATACTGTTTAGTTTGCATGGCTTGTTCATTTTTTCTACATAAACAATGGCTCTTTTTTCAGCATTGCTTGCTGCGCATTTAGTACAAAATGCCAAAAGGCATTATCGCCGAGATGGGACGTAATTATTTTGTTTATAATGGGAAAAATATTGATTCCGAACCATTGAAGGATTTTGACTGATTTCAATCGCAGATTAGACTTAAATCACATTCATATACCGAACGATTTTCCATCAAAAATCCGATCGCATTACGGCTGTAAATTTGGTTTTATGTAACGATTATTGTTCCCATAATCAGGTCATGGAATCACATGATTCAACCTTTCTGTCACATCAAATTTGTTTTAAACTGATTGAAACTATTTTCTTTTTCGTTATTTGGCATGGAAACGATCTCGGAATGTGTTTGGCCTTATTTTGAGCGAGCTTCAAGATTGTCGGTTGTTATTATATCTTCGGACCGTTTTGGGATGAAACAGTTAAAAATGAATAAATTTAGGTGAACAGGCGTGAATTCAATGAAATTAACAGGTAGAAAGCACACCCATTTGATAGAGCAATGGCAACGAACCAAAGAGAGTATTAGACGGATTAACAAGTTGATCGAATCGACGATAACGTTGCAAGAAATGATGAAGATGAAATCTCGCTCAATATTCCATTTCAAGCAACAATTTTCGACAGAGAAGCCGTTGTTCGTCGTTGGTGTTCATTTATGAATATTATAATGCAGTTGCATCGATATCAAAATCACGTTAATTTCTGAATCGATTATTGATTAAAAAAATGTAATAAAATCTGTTTGGATTATGTTTGCATTTCACCGTGGTCGGTGTTCAGTGGCTAAAAAGCATCAATAATGTGGTTTTGCATGACTGCGATATCTAAACTG